ACCATATATGGCGAAGTAAACGAACAGGGTCTGTGGAGAAGGCGATATAACTTTAAACTCTATAGACTTTTTGGTGATGCAGATATTGTGAAGACCATCAAAATAAACCGCCTAAGGTGGGTGGGCCACGTTATGCGAATGGATGAGGGTGATCCCACTAAAATAACTATGCTAAACAGGCCGGTCGGAAAAAGAAGAAGAGGGCGACCTAAACTCAGATATCTGGACGATGTACAGGAAGATCTGAGGGAGATTGGAGTGAGGGGCTGGAGAAGACAGACACTCGATAGGGAAGGATGGAAGAATGTTTTGAAGCAGGCCAAGGCTCACGAAGGGCTGTAGCGCCAACTGATGATGATGATGACATGCATAAATGATAGTGATAAACGAAACGAAAACGTCAGCATGCTCTGTTAACAAATTCTACCTCCAACATTCACGAAGACATAAGTGGCGTAATCTTCAGTAATATATGGTGTATTATAGGAGTACGTTATATAGTTGAAAGAGGAGGGCAAAAGGCGAATTTTGGCGCTTTGTAATCGTAACACACCAACGAACCCTTAACAACCTGTACTGAGGCAGCGTGGTAAGGTGCGTCTCACAATCTTTAACATAAAAGACCCATTCAAATTATGTCAATCGTTCTTCGTAGACCCCACTGACCCTGAACTCAGCAAGTTCTAGAATCGAGCTAGAAGGGCAGAGGGTGCTAAGAATCTGCTAAGAGTCTAAATCTTCACTCAAATAAAAAAAAACGAAACTTTATATAACGCCAGATAATCGCTGCTCGCTACCAAATCAATCCAGACTGGTAGAACTGGAAAAAGAAACCGAAAATATGAAATGGATCATCATACAAATCAGCGAAGTAAGACAGAAAGATGATAATATTGAAAATACCGTCAGGAAACACATTCTACTACTGAGGAGCATCAACGGGCAGAACAGGTGGTATTAGATTCCTAATTAACAAGAAATGGAAACGAAGAGCAGTACAAATAACTATTATCTTGGATAAAGTAACTAGCTGAACCATTCAAAGATATACGCATATACAAATATACGCTAAAACGATTATTCACACTAACAAAGAAATAGAGCGATTCTAAAATAACAAAACTAAAGCAGTAAATAACAATAAGAGCCACTTTAAGTATTAATTTGGTGTCTTTAATGCCAAAGTGGAGAAGGGAAATGGCAAAGAACAAGTTATGGGAAAGTATGGAGTCAGTGAGATAAATGCAAGGGGAGAAAGACTGGTGCAGTTTTCACACTACCAAAACATGCCTATAGCAAATACATTCTTTAAGAAAATATTGAACAAAAAATGGCCTTGGTAGCACCAAATGGAAACACTAAGAAGGAAATTGAATTCATTCCAAACAACAAAATTGCTTCAATAAAAGATTAGTCAGTATTGTAAATAAATTTAAATACTAAAAGAAGGAATCAGTAACCAAGTTTGTAACAAAGAAGTCTTTCCGGAAGAAGTGAGATTAACAATAACAAAATGAAAAGCGATAAAGCAGCTTGAATAGAGAACATAACAGTGGAATTGCTTAAGTAGGCTGGTAATAAAACCTCTAAAACCTAAGGAGACATATTTACCCACTGTCTAAGATTTATACGCATACCAGCACATTGGAATATAGCAAAAAATATAAATAATAAGAAAAAGTTTTTTTATCTTATAAAAGTGCTTTAAAAAAAAAAGTGTTATAAAATATAAGTATTTACATGTATATTTATATTCTTTAAAATGTTGGATTAATAAAGAATTTCAGGAAGGCCAACTAATCTGTATGCTTAACGTGATATTAAACAATACGGAGATATTGTCACGTGTAAATAAGAAGATTAATAATTTATCATTATGACATCAGTTTTTTCATCAGATTATACCAGACGATGTTGTCCTCATGTTAAGGTCAAACAAAAAAAAGGGAATATTAACTTAATTTAAATCAGGAAAAAAACTACTGATGTATTAGCAGGAGTCAGCATAAGAAAAAAACAAGAATATGAAGCTAAATTCCAAAACTGGCAAATTAGGTCGGTAAAGAAAAAAAGAGCTAAACAAATCTTATACAGGTTTTTGAAGGTTCTAAAAATATATGAGGCGTAGCTGATGACAATTACTTAAACAATTATAGCTGATTTTGCTTTGTTTGTTTAACAATCATAAAAAAGGAAAAAAAAATTTACAAGAAAAACAAACGGCGATGCTCTTTATGTAACACTTCCAAACATGTACAAATAACGTAATGTAAGATTATGTTTCACAAGTTTCGAATCATTTTATACCAATAAACCATATTATTTTAAAAATTTTAGTGGTTTTCCATTGATACCATCAAAAATTGGTTCCTTGGCTGGAACATGGCTAACAAACTCTGTGCTTTTAACGAACTGGGATTAATATTAATAGTAAAGGACCTAAGGAGTCAGATCAACAAAGTATCCGCACTGTCAGGATGTCTGCGGAAGATAGTCTGGTCAAATCCGTATACGCGTAGAGATAGTAAAATTAGAATTCACAACAACAAAATGAAACAGATGCTAAGGGTTGCCGAAATGAAAACCCTAAGAAAAATAGTGGGCAAAACAAGAAGAGGCAGGGTGAGAAATACAAACGTTAGAGAGCAGTGCCAAATTCAAGATATTGTAAGATGGGGAAGGCAGCATAAGAAGATGTACAACCATGTAAGACAAATGGATGAGAATAGATTCCCAAAAATTGCCCTAGAAAACAACGCCCCGGTTCAAGACCTCTCCAAAGACTACTTAAAAGATGGAGGGATAGTTGGCAATCTACCTCCCAGGAAATTAACAAAAGGCAGCTTGAAAATTAAACAGATCGAAAGATCTCCAAAAAGTAGAAAAAGAAGAAGAAGAAACAATATTTTATTTTTTGACCACAAGTTCCAATATAAATATACATTTAAAAATTTCAGGGGCCACAACTTTATGATTTATTTAACTCGGCAGACGCAGGGAGTGAATACAAACTACTAGCAAAAATAAGAATGAAAATAACACCAAAATATTTTCTACATGAAAAATACAATCCAGAATCAATGTGGAACGACTTTACAAGAGAAAAACCAGCATATCTATGTTTTACAAACCTTACAAAGGCTTTCGATTGCATCAAAGTCAAAGACGTCTTACATCTATTGTATAAAATAAACATACCAATCAAAATTATATAAACCATCGAAAACATCTACTTACATAATCGAATACAGATAAAGATAAATGGAAAACTAACACAGTGTATACCAGTACAAAACGGAGTCGAACAGGGTGTCTCGGTAAGCCCACTTCTCTTTAATATATCTAATAATAAACAAACAAAATACTACAAGCAGTACATAAATATCATGGTTACAGAATGGGGAACAAAGAAATCCAAATATTATGCTATGCAGACGACGCCGCATTAATCGCCGAGAGAGAAGAGCTCCAAAGATTAACACACATCTTTAGTACAATGGCCAAAAAATACAATATGATAATATCAGCAGAAAAAATCGTATGACATCTAAATACCCACTACGATATGAAATGGAAACTGACGGAAAAATAATAAAGCAGGAATTAAGGATTAGATATCTGGGAATAGATATAACTAGTTACGGAGTTGTTGAAGACGAAGTACGACAACAAAGCTTAAAAAAAAGTAAAGCAGCGGTATCAATGACACAATCTGCAAGGACAAACACCTAAGACAAGACACAAAAACAAGAATTTATAAAGCAACAATTAGACTCATATTACTATATACTAGAAACAACAGAGGTGAAAATATTCCGACGAATATTAGGTAAAAGTCTGTTAAATAGGGAGAGAAGTAATAGCATAAGAAAAGCATACAAAATAAATGGGTGACAAAACGGCAATAGGACTGAAACGAGCACATTATTAGAATAAAAAGGGATAGGATAGTATGAATAGCACGAGATAAGTCACCAAATAGACGAAGAAGTATTGGCAGACGAAGAAAAAGACGGTGCAATAATTTAAATAATTTATTAAGCTAATAATAAAGAAGAAACATTCTTTAAAGCCTACATAAAAGAAAGAAGAAGAAGAATAAACATTGATTCCTCAGTAAGTACCTAAATACTAAGCATATGGACTATATGGACCCGAACGAAATCAAAATTAATTACTAATTTTTTCATATCCCTGAAAGCATTTGTGAGTCAAAAAATGCAAATAATAGAGAAAATCCGAAAAAAGGGCTGCGCCTTAAAGTGTTGACCAAAAATAAACAACAACTTTACAAAAATTTGGGCATTTGGTGACCAAATGCCCATCTTGGTAGTTAGTATTCGCCTCTGGTTGCGTTGAGTAACTGAGTTACCGTTGCTAACTACCCATCTTCCTGTTCTTTTGTTTTCTTTTTCTTTGTTCTCCTGAAGAAGCTACATACAATTGTAGCGAAACGTCGAGATGAACCCACTTTTAGGTCACTCACAAATGACACGGTCCAAACCCGGAAGACGAATAAACTATAATTCTGACTCTGGCCGTGGAAGCCTACGATTTCAACAACTTTACAGTTTTTGGAACTTCAAAACAGTAAAAAGAATGCTGAAATGGATTTTGTCTACTTTCTCATTATCAAGAACTAAACGAAAATTGATTGCATGGTTGCAGCAAATTTTCTTAGTCAAATTATGTAAGACAAAATCTTAGACCTTAGACAAAATTCTTTTCTTTTTTTAATTTTATTTTTAAATCTAAAACTATTTATTAGTTACCTAACATTTTTTAAACAACTAAAGATGGGTATAGGATATTATACATTAAATGTGTCAGTAGAAATTTTTAATTCATGAAAGTCTTTTGAGAGTTTTAACACTGAAATATTACTGGTAAACATGAGCTTAAAAATGTAGTAAATAAATAACTTCTGTGTTTTATTTGCAAATATTCGTAAAGTAAATAAATATATTAGGTGATATAAAATTGCTGAATCTAAGACTTACCCGAAACAGAAGACCAAAACACTTTCCTATGGCCATAACTCTCCATTTTTTCCAACTCACTGACCTACAAATTAACCAAAGAACATTCCATTGTCATTGCTGTCTGATAACAATATAAATACACTATGTAGCTTATACATTTCTTTTATTAATGCATAATTAAATAGACATTTTTTTAAAAATAATGATATCTACATTATTTGCGAGATAAGGAATTGCACGTACTATTTAATCGTTGGTTGATAATAATTTACAAGATTTCTACAATTTTCAATTAAAATATCCTCTGGTTGCTGTATTTAATTTAATTTTACCCTTCTTGATATACAGGGTTGGGACAAACTATGACACCAAATAAATATATATCAAACGAAAAATACGATATTATTTAAACTCTGCCTGTAAGTACCATGACATATAACGCATATTATGCCGTATTTTTGTTAATACTTTACTTGAGGTTTCACGTGAATTGCCCTCAAATTAATTAATTTAAATGGGACACCCTATTTATTTCTACAGATTAAAAATATTATACAAAAGACGCATACCATGATTACAAGACAGTTAAAAACGAAACAAATGCACTTGTTAAAAGCATTCCAACCAGCAATGATAACTTGGTAGCTACATTTACCGATGACACAGGAATCTTAGCAGTGGATATCGACCCTATGTAGCACCACAAAAAAATGAAATTAGAACAACAAAATTATATGCCATGAACACACACTTCAAGAAACCAGCAAACCAAAAATGGTCATAGATATCTCCCGATAAAAGACGAACAACTAGATCGATTACTTCTTGTATGGGAACAAAGACATTTTTAAAGATATAAATGCGTTCAATCGGTTCACAACTGTCAGCGATCATCGTCTTTTAAGAGCAAGGATTCACATAGGTAATTATTATAATCAGATAGATCAAACTAAAATACGACAGAAGGGAAATGAGTACAGAGAAGTCAGAAGAAAAAAATTTGTAGAACATTATTAACAACAATACTTCGACATAAATACAATTAATAAAGAAATGCAACAAAAGCTCTTGAAAACAGAACTGATGTGGGAAAGAAAACTAAAATAGAGAACACAGAACAAAACAAAGGGTTACAGTACAGCGAATCATCTTCTTAGAATCAAAACGTTAAGAGAGAAAGCCAATGAATATCACCTGAACTTATACATTGTCTTCGTTGGTTATGAAAAGGCATTCAACTCCATAGAACTTTGGGCAATAGAGAGAGCTAGGAACAACTGCAAGATACTGATACAGAATGCTCATACATACTACTTACAAGAAAACTACAATAAAAATACCAATAGATGCAAAAAACCAAATCTATACCAATCAACAGAGAAGTTCGAGAGGGAGATGTTATCTTATCAAAGCTATTCACACTTGGACTGAAAGACATGCTCAAAGACATTAACTGGGAAAATAAAGGAATACATGTTAATGGAAGAAAACTGAGTCATTTGAGATACGTTGGCTACATAGGCCTTTGGGTATGGAATCATGCATGCCCATTAACTCGGCTTACGGAGCACAGAGTCATCTTCTCTGTCGCTCACGTGGGTAACTCCAACCTGGCGCGTCCAAGCCCCGGAGGCATCTATCACTTCAGTAGGCCGGAGTGAATAGATGGCTAAGTTTAGGTTGGGACCCAGTTCTGTGGGGAATAACACGGACCCCTGCCTAGGGATACAGGTGAAGACTACAATGGTAGGCACGGCGTAGAAGAAGATCTTCGGTACGGCGTGGATGGCGGAAGTGGCATCCCTGGATTTTAGGGATTGTATAAAATCAATACTCTATTCTAAGACCACAACGGCGATGAAGGCGGATGAGAAAAAATTTCGAAACGGCGAAGTCGGCGGAAGTGGCAGGAATAAAAAACAAGAAGGGAAGATAGATCTCTAAAAACGTTGTAAAAACTGAAAATTACTAAAAAGCCTAATGCTTGCCTCGGAATTTCAGACGGATTATATGGAAAAAGACACAAGGTACGGAAACGGATATTGCATATTGGTACATGGAATATCCAGGGAATAAGAGTAAAAATAAAAGAAGTTATTCGTGAACTAAAAAACGCCAACATGGATATAGTAGTCTTGACGGAGACTAAGAAAAAAGGAACTGGCACAGAAACTGTAAATATCTATATACACATATTCAGTGGCATCTTAAAACACCAAAGAGCAAAGAGAGTAGTCTCTGTAATGATACACAAAAAATTCAAACACAAAATAAAATGGTATTTCCTTCTAAATCTAACAAGGACAATAACGTTTATGAGGAACCTGAACAAACAGAAGTGATAACGAACAAACGATATAACTTAAACAGCCTTATCAACGAAAGCACAAGAAACCTATACCAGCACATATTAGACCAAAAGCTGCTACATAATATAGAAGACCAGTCAGTAGAACAAGTTTACGAAAACATAACGAGTAGCATCAAAAAAGCAGCACAAGAGGCCATTGGACTAAAAACTAATTCCTCTAGTAAAAAACTTTGGTGGAATCAAGAAATTGAAGAACTAGTACTTCGGAAGAAAAAAGCATACCACAAATGGCTTAACACAAAACAGGAGTTGGATAGAGAAGAATACATAGATATTAAAAGAAGAACACGACAACTAGTAAATACAGCTAAACGAGAAATGTGGGACAAAAAATGCAAAGAGGTAGGCACATATATGGGAGATAGAAAGTGCTCAGAGACGTCGAAATTCCTGACAAAAGTTAAATAAAATGAAAAACGAGAAACAAACATACAATTATTAACAACAGAGAACTGGATCCGACATTACGAAAATTTATTAACAGAAAACAGAGAGGAATATAGAGAAATGTCTCCAACTGAAATACACATACAGGGAGAAACGATAAACATCGATGAGAGGACTGTCATAAAAACGATACAACTACTAAAAAATGGTCGAGCTGCAGGTCCAGAGGGAATTCCACGGTAAAAGACGCAGGAGAACATGCTGAATAATTAAAATAGAGCTTCACAGGAGACAATTCCCGACTAAAATATTAAAGATGGAACTACGAAATACTACAATGGAGACCATGGTTAGGAAAGAGAAGCAAAGGAAGACCACAAATGAAATGGGCTGATAACATTAAGAAGATCGGAGGACACACCTGGAAGCAACTGTCGTAAAATAGAAGACACTGGATTGATTTGGAGGAGGGCCTATGTCCAAAGTTGGATTACTTAAGGCTGAAGAAGAAGAGAAGAAGGATCTCGGCCAATAGTAAACAGTTTTAAATTTAAAACAGTTTTAAGGCGGGGCAATGCGCATCAGGATGCGTATTACTCCACGACTTATCCAGGATGACAATGGTCTGCTTTACAGCGTTCTGTTCTAATTTAAAGAAAAATCTGGATATTTATTTACTTATCTACAGTATCGTAATTAAATACGTAATGCAATTTTTATCTCTGATATTAATATTATTATCAAACAATACCAAACCAAAACAATTAAAAAATTATTAATTTAAATAAATATTCTAAAAAATTTAAACATCTTAAAGCATTTAAAATTAATTTCAGAATTATTTGCATTAGCTTCTTATATTTGGAATTTGTTTATAAATAATAGCATAACAACAGCGTATCGCACCTTTTTTAATTTATCGTATTATTATTACATTATGATATTATTATATTACATTACCTTATCTGCACTAGACATAGTTTTTTGAGAATTGTGTTACCAATACTATCTATCTTAAAATTTCATAAAATATCTGATGAATTTGACTCTCCTATCAAATTCTCCTCCTAGACGCTGGATGGCGTTTTTTTCCAACGGCGGATGGCTGGATGTCGGATACCTATAAGAAGACGAATACGATAAGGATATGTACTATCTCCTTTCATTTTTAATATGTGCTTAGAACAAATGTTTAAAAAGTCGCAGAAGAACCAAAAATGAATACTAAGAACAGTTTAAAAAAAGGATGGAAAGCAATTTCCACAACACACAAAAACAAGTATGGAGATTTATAAGACACCAAGGGAAAGAAATGGCAGAATTAAAGGAATACAATAAGATAGCAGCAAACGAATGGGAAACATATCTAACAGAACTGTTTAAAGGAAAGGAAAGTAATAATCAACACAATAAAGTACCTGAATTAAGACACGAAATAGAAATCAGTTTTCAGGAAGTAGAGATTTTACTTAAAAATAAAAAGGTTACCAGGACCAGATGGAATAACAAGCGAGCTTCTAAACACGAAAAAGAAAGTATTACCCAAGAGATGACAAAAACTAATATTTAACTGCAAGGTACCAGACGTAAGGAGAAACCGCATAATAATACCAATATTCAAGAAAGGAGATAAAGAAGACCTTAACAATTATAGAGGTATAAATCAACTGAACACCGCACTTAAGCTTACCACAAAAGTCTTAACCAACAAAATCAATAAACTAACAACTTTATCAGATGAACAACAAGGATTCAGATCCAGAAAATCCTGCTAGATGCCGTATTTATACTAAGACAAATCAGAGGAAAGGCCATCGAGTACAATCAACCAGCATATCTATGTTTTATCGACCTTTTCTAGAAAAAGGTTTTCGTTCGCATCAAAATCGAAGACGTCTTACACCTACTGTATAACAGAAACATACTCAATGCGTGAAAACCATACTCAAAGACCACAAAAATTAAATGTATGGTCAGATATAGTAGTTACTTATTCAATTGGGTCATTTTTTGTCGAAAGAAATTTAACGTCAGATAGTTGGTGTAAATGTTCGGCGATATTTAGATGAGATATTTCCTGGACGATAAATTGGTAGACAAGGTAGAATTGAATGGCCTCCACGTTCACCCGATTTCAATCCTAAAGATTATTTTTATTAGGGATACTTGAAAAATTCAGTTTACAAAACTTAACCAGCAAGTCTTGCAGAGCTAAGGCAACGAATTATCAATGAATCTCGAATAATTTCTAGACAATCATGGAGAAATGTGGTAGACGCCTTCTACCATCGATTAGGGTGCTGTCAACTCACAAATTGAGCACATTTTGAACACTTAATAACGTAACTA